CCCCCCCCCCCCCCCCCAGGTGCTGGGAGGAGCAGGGCTGAGTGTGCACAGGAGGCAGCCCCGTGCGTGCAGCCCTTCTAGTGCTTTTATCTGCTCCTGGCCATCTAGGGTAATGCGAGGCACTTGCGCATGCGGCCTTGGCAGAAGCTGGATGTCAAGTGTGCTGCTGCCTTGCTCGTGGCCCTGCGTGTGCCTGGCTTACCCGGCTGCCTCTGCAGCCACGGCACCACCAGTGACCACGGCATCGCTGGCTCACTCCATCCAGCATGAAGCAGGCAGTGCTGACAGTCCCGCAGGGCTGCCCTCAAGTGCTGCTTGCACTAGCCGGCAGGTTCTGCTGCCGGCTGGCAGCCCACTGCCTACAGAGGGGTGACTTTCCCATGCTAATGCACTTGGGCAGGCTTGGCCCGAGCAGCCTGTCAGCTCTCATTAAGGTATTAGCAGCAATGCCCAGTGGGGCTTGGGACCTGTCAGCTGCCTGTCTGCAGACGCAGCCTCCAGGTGTGCTGCCTGTGGGCAGGGAGGAGGAGGAGGCGGCGGCGGCAGTGGTGCTGGCAGCCCTGCCAGGTAGGGCTCAGTCAGAGGAATGGGCAAGGTGTGGGGAACTGGGGGTGGTGGCTGCTACAGCCTGTCCTCTTGCTGGTGGGGGTGCTGCCTGTGCCCGTTGTGCAGGGACCTGGTCCCTCTGGGGCATTCGTTCTGGGTTGGAGGGGAGTGGGGACAGGCTGGGGGCGTCATCACTGGCACCAGCCTGGGGTTGGAGATGTCGGTGTGTTGTGGGTGATGCCGTCCAGGGGTGGGAGGGCACTTGGGCAGAAGGGTGCATGGGTGGTCCCCGGCCCTGGAGGACACCAGCATGGTGATGATTGAGGCTGATCCCACACGGGGGCTCTACCCCTCCTGCTCTGCCACACAGACACCCCCCCTCCCTGGCTGGTGTCTGGGGCTCTGGCAGCCGCCTGGGGTGGGGGGTGCTGCTTAGCAGGGTTCCCTGCCATCAATCCACCTGGTCCCAGGGCTGGAGACGCTGCCAAGTGTCAGCGCTTGCCTCGCACCCCTGCGCGGGACCCCCAGCCGCAGTGACAAGAATAGCCCTGCAGGCTCGGGGCTGTGCTGGGCCGGCCTCCAACCGGGGGTGGTGTCCCGGCGCCCCTATAAAGGGCAGAAGACAGCTGAGCGGGGCCCGCTGCAGTCGTCACCATGCCGGGGGTCAGCCTGGAGGGGCTGGTGCAGGTCGGAGCGGCCGAGCTGGTGGAGCTGCGGCAGGAGCTGGGCGCTTTGCGGGGGGCAGTGGAGGGGCGGCTGGAGCAGGCCCTGCGGCAGGTGCAGCCCCTGGCACAGGCGGTGCGGGCGCTGGAGGAGGAGCACCTGGAGCTGCGTGCAGAGCTGGCGCGCCTGGGCCACCGTCTTGACCTGCTAGTGCTGCAGCTGGGGCCGCAGGAGACCCCCGGGGAGGACCTCAGCACCCTCTTTCTGGAAGCACAGGACCCTTGCGCTCACTTTGAGGGCACTGAGGAGCCCAGTGTCCCCATGGCCCATCCGCCCGCTTTCTCCAGCATGCGCCAACAATCGGCCCAGCACCTCTCCAGGAGCAACAGTGGCGTGAGTGCGGGCAGCCCTGCCCCACGGCAGCACCCAGCAGGGGCGTGGGAGGGTGGCACTGGCTTGCAGGGCTCCTGGTGGCCCCTGGGCTGTCTAAAGCTAAGGCGAAGCCCCTGGCACGATGTAGGACTGTGGCTGCGCTGCACAGGCGATGCAGTGTCACAGGCATCTGCCACCATTTGGGCTCACTGCTGCAGGGAGCAAACAGTGACTGTCTCTCTGCATTGCTGGCATGCCAGCCGGGTGGGCAGGCTGCAGGCAGCAGGCAGCTGTCCTGTCCTCGCCTGCACACAGCAGTGGCAAGGCACAGGTGGTGGTATGGGGGCACGTGGCTGGCGTCACCTCCTGCTGGTGGCTTTGCCGTGGGCCGGGTGCCGGGCTGGGGTAGCGGGGTGCGGGATGGGCCAAGGTGTGTGGTGGGGCTGCTTTGGCCCCCACTGGCACGTCTTCTCTGCTGCCTCCATGCCCTATTCCGGTCCTGGCCCGCTGCCTGCCATGCATTGCTGGGGGGTCGTGCTGAAAGGGACTTGGCATCCTGGCTTTGCTCTGGCAGGGGCCAAGCTGGCTTAGATTCTGAGCAGGATGTGGGGGAGGCTCTCGACCTCCTATACAAGCTCTTCTCTCCACTAAATCCCTTAATTCCTTGGAAATCCCTTGTGCTGCTAAGGGTGCACACTGGCCTTGGCAGCACCTTGCCTGCTGCTGGGCACAGGCACTGCCCAGCCTGGAGCACATGGGCAGCCCCTGCTTGCTTGGAGGGTCCTGGCCGCTTCTGGTGATGAGGGGTGGGGAATATTTGGGGACGTTTTGGCAGCCAGATTGGGAGTAGGTCAGAGAATGCTGGGCCCGCCCCCCAGGGCAGGGGGTGCTGTTAGGGGAGTGTTGCACGCCCCTGCCTGCCTTGGTTGCCACAGATGCCTGTGAGCTCTTATGCCACATGTTGGCACATCTTCAGGGTCTCTGCTGCCTGTGGCACTGGGCAAGTGTCAGAGCAATGTGGAGCTTGAACCCTGAACAGCATGGGGAAGGGTGGCCAAGCTGATGGGGTCTCAGTCAGTTGGTACTGTCCTTATAGATGGAGCCGGAGGTGGTGGAGCAGCCCCAGGCACCAAAGCTGGAGCCGGAGCTGCCCAATGGCATGGAAAAGGTCCAAGTGAGAGAGCTGGAGAGAAGGAGCAAGCTGAACGTCGAGGAGCTGAACAGGATTGAGGATGAGGATGTTCTGGATAAGATGGTACCTCTTCTGTCACCGGGCTCCTGGGAGAAGGCAAGGGGACCGTGAGCTGGTGGCAGAGGAGTGATGCTGACCTCCACCTCCTCCTGCAGCTGGATCGGACAACAGACTTTGAGGAGCGGCGGCTGATCCGAAACGCCATGCGGGAGCTGCGCCAGCGCAAGCGAGGTACTTGGGGATGGTGACTGCCACGGGAGCCGGGGCTCTGGTGGGGGTGGTGCAGGCAGAGCTGGCAGGGTGCTGGAATGGGGCTGTCCAGCTGTGGTGAAGCAGGAGGGTGTGTTGAATCTTCTGCTGCATCCCTGGCTGGCAGCAGTCCGCAGGACCCCCTGCGTGGTGGGGACCATCCCTGCCACCCCTGACTTTGGCTCCTGACGCTGTCTTCCACCTGCATTTGCAGACCAGCGGGAGAAAGAGCGGGACCAGCGGCTGCAGGAGATGAGGAGCCAGGCTATAGCAGGAAGGGCTGGCCATGCCACGGAGACCACCACCACACAGAGCACCCAGTCAGCCGATGGCTCAGCACGCAGCACTGTCACCAAGACCGAGCGTCTCGTCCAGTCTAGTATGGGCTGGGGGTGGGGGGGCACGTAGGGCTCACCTGCCCAGCACAGCCAGTGTGCCAGCCCTTCAGGAGGCTGTCCAGAACCTTGCCCAGTGCTCTGCCACCACAGCTTCTCTGCTGCTCTTGCTGCTTGTCCTGGATCTGGCTTGACTGCTCTGGGAGCAGGACTGTGGTTCAGGGCTGAGTTTTGCTGCATCTCCTCTGGCTTGTTGGAGCCTGCCTGGGGATCTTTAAAGTATCTGCTCTGTTGACCTCCAACCCAGTTCTCTGCCCCACTGGGGTGGCAAGGGCCTTGCCTGCACCTTGGGCCTGTCTCCTGTCCCCTACACCTCCGTTCTCCTGGTCTCTTGGTGGCTTAAGCCAAGAGCTGCTGTAGGGGGCTGAGGGATGCTCCAGCTCCCCACTCCTTTGCACTGGCCTCTTTGCTTCGCCTGGCAGGCACATACTGTCCGTCTCCCCTCTGCCTTCCCTGGCCATGGCTCTCCCTCCTGGGACTTCTCCCTGTTGTGCTACATGTATGCAAGGGTGCTTGGCAGTGGTGGGTGCTGCTTCCCCTGGCCCCAGCTGATCCCCTGTTGCCTTGCCCCCTGCAGGCGATGGCACCAAGACTTCCCGTACCACAACCATGGAGTCGAGTTTTGTGAAGAGATCAGATGGTAAGGGAGCCTTTGCTGCCCTTTCCCTGTGGGATCCTCTGGGTATAACCACAGGGGCATTGCTGCCACTGAGCCATCCCCACCTGTGGCACGAGCAGGGCTCCCACCTGCCTGGCACCACTTCCATCAGCCTCCTGCCCAAGGCCCCCCTCTCTCTCTCTGCAGATGGCAACAGCACATTTGTTCAAACCAAATCATCCTACAGCTCCTCTTCCAAGAAGACGGGCAGGTAGGTGGTGATGCCTCCCCAGGGCCAGCACCAAGCAAGCCCCATCAGCCGTCTGCTTGCACAAACCCTCTCTGCTCAGCTTGCAGTCTCCCTCTGTGGTGTTGTCCCCAGAGCTTCCTGATCCTTGGGGCATGCTCGCTGCCTCCAGCGGTCCCCATGGGTCCCTCCATGGGCCTGGAGACATGTCTGCCAGCTGGGGGACCTTAAGTCACCCCTCTTCTGTCCCAGGGACATGGAGGTCTCCAAAGCTCCAGGGCTGGCAATGTGCTGAGGCCACCCTGTGCCCTTCTCCAGGCTGCCCATAGCCCCCATAGCTTTGTCTGTCTCTCTCCCAGCATCTTCGACCGTGAAGATGAGAGTGTCTCCAGGCAGAGCAGCTTGGCTGCGCTGGAGCGGCGCCAGGCTGAGAAGAAGAAGGAGCTGATGAAAGCTCAGAGCCTGCCGAAGACATCGGCCTCACAGGCTCGCAAGGCCATGATGGAGAAGCTGCAGAAGGAGGGTGGGAGGTGAGGATGGGCCAAGGGCAGGCTGGCTGGTGCAACAAGTGCCACAGGAATAACACCCTGTGTTTTCTGCCACAGCTCACCAAACCCCGCAGTGGCACGCACTGCTGTGCAACGCTCCTCCAGCTTCGGTGTGCCCAATGCCAACAGCATCAAGCAGATGTTGCTAGACTGGTGCAGAGCCAAGACCCGGGGCTACGAGGTGAGTGCCACCTCCTCTTCCTGTCCCCTGGGCTGGTCTCTCTGCCCCTTGGTAACTCTCCTGTCCTTGCAGCATGTGGACATCCAGAACTTCTCGTCCAGCTGGAGCGATGGCATGGCCTTCTGTGCCTTGGTCCACAACTTCTTCCCTGAGGCGTTTGACTACAGCCAGCTGACACCCCAGAACCGCCGCCACAACTTCGAGGTGGCCTTCTCCTCTGCAGAGTATGTAGCTCTTGTGCCATCACATGGGCGTGGGGCAGCTCTCCCACCTGCTGCCCAGGGCAAACTGGGGACATGGGCAGAGGCAACGGTGCTGGTAGTGGGTGCCCATCAGCATCGTTCCCCCTGTGCCATGCAACAAAGTTTTGACACTGGGGGGAAAGCAGTGGCTACATGGGCAGAGCCATGAGAAGCCAGTGCAGCCCAGTCTGGTGTGGTAAGGGTAGGCGTGGGGGTCTGGGCTTCCTGGGTGTTGGGCGGAGTACCCAAAGGCAGGGCAGCAGCCCCCCAAGCCTGCTCAGCCACAGGCAGTACATCCCATCCTGGGGTGCCGGGTGCAGGACTGCAGCCCCTGGGGAGCAGGGTTTGTCTGTGCCAAGTGCCTCCCTTCATGATTGTGGGGGCTCAAACACCATTGCAGCTTCTCCAGTCTCTTCCCTTCCCCTTTTGCTTCTGGTTTTCCTGGGTGCTGAGAGATGGGAGCGCATCCAGCTGGAGGGCTGGCAGCCAGCCCCTCTCTCCTTCCTTCTGTCTCTCTCCCACCCACTCCTCCTCCCCTCCAGCACCCTGCCCAGGGGCAGGGCCGGGCAGGTGGGAGTCCCATCCCAGCCGGTGCCCAGGGTGGTGGTGTGAGCTGGGAGCTCCTGCAAGCTCCCTGGGTGCTGTGGTGCTGTTCGGTGGAGCGAGAAGGGGGCCACTTGCCTGGCTCTTGGCGCTCTCGTTAATGGATTTTTTGCCTTAATTGGGGAACCAGTGTGTGGACTTGAGAGAGCCTTCGATCTCTCCAGCCTGGAAGCCAGGTGGCCTCTCGTCCTTCCTCCTCCTCCAGCTCTTGTGAGCATCTTCTCCCGAGCTTCCTGCACCAGGGCTGTGCCATGCGGTTCCAAGCGGAGCTGGGCAGGACGGCTGGCCTTGCCCCCCGATCCTCCCAGCGGGTCTATATAGGGGCTATATAGAGCGCCGCTCCGCTCTGGAACCCGCTCCCCGAGCACCCGGCGTGCCAGAACACCTCACTCCTCCTCCTCCTCCTCCTCTGTCTCCGTCTGTCCTTCCCTCTGGACCTCACACCTCTCCACGCCACTCACCCACCCTTCCCCCTCCTTGCTTGTGCTCCCCCAAGTCTCACTGAATGGCCTTGGCACGGCAGTGCCTGGAGCCCTCCTGCCCCTGCATCGTGCACCCCTAGAGCATGCTAGAGCAGAGCAGCATCTGCCTGGGGGAGGGGGGGGCGGGGCGGGAACTGCATTGATCCGTGTCTCTTGTTTTCTCTCTTCCTCCCTCCCCGACTGGGCTGCGGTCACTGGCTTGCCCCTCTCTCTCCCTGCCCCCAGGAAGCACGCAGACTGTCCGCAGTTGCTGGACGTGGAGGACATGGTCCGGATGCGCGAGCCAGATTGGAAGTGTGTGTACACATACATTCAGGAATTCTATCGCTGCCTGGTCCAGAAGGGGCTGGTAAAAACCAAAAAGTCGTAGCCCATTTTCACCCCCCCGGGAGCGATGGTGAGAATCTTCCCCTCCAAATATCTGCCCGTGCCCCACTGCTGCCACTTGGCCAGGGACTGGCCACCGCGGCAGGGGAAGAGGCTGGGGGATGCTGGTGGGCAAGGGGCAAGTCCTGGCAGTATTGGCCAGCAGGGCCAAGCTGTGGCCAGGAGAGGGATGCAGGCAGCTGGCTGCCCTCTGGCCTTCCAGAATAGCACCTGTGGGGATTTGGGGAGGGAGGAAGTGTCACCCTGGGGGGCTGTTTGCTCTCCAGCCAGGGGAGGGTGCTAGTGGGAACGGAGCTGCCACAGCTCTTTCCTTTGCTGTCTGAGGCCAGCCTGGGGAATTAGCTGCCGAGACACTGCTCTGAGTGCTCTGCAGCAGCATGAGCCCGAGTGGTGCTGCCTGGGTGTGGGTGAGCCCCCCCCCCCCGAGCTGCCCCAGCACTGCTGCTTGCACTTGCTGCCTCCTTCCTTCCCCCCAGCCCAGGGTGTGTAGGGGCTGTCGGCCCCAGCCAGGGAGGGAGCTGCAGCTGCTGCTGCGGGGCCAGGCGTGGGTGATGGTTCCCTGCCTGTGAGGTGCTGCCTGCTCATATATGGGCAAGAGTGGGGAGCCTGGAAAGTGTGACTCAAAGCTTGGGTCCTGCCTCGTCTTGCAGTGTTTGTTCCTGTCTTCAGGGGCATCCCAGCTGGCACTGGAGCTGCTGCTCCCCGGGCTCTGCACGGCACCAGCGTACCGGGGCTCAAACAATGGCTTTATAAGGGCAGAGCTGCTCTTCTTGCGCTGCCGTTGCTTTGCCATCACCCCCTGAGCCGGGGCTGGCAGTGACGGGGGGCCTGTGGAGCTCAGGCGGGGGCTTTCCCAAGGCCCTGAGCACGGCCCGCCCCCACCCCAGGAATCACGAGGTGCGGCTGGTGCTGGCCAGGCCACGGGCTCAGAGCCCATTAACTCCAGTGCAGCAGAGGCTCTGTGGGAGAGCTGAGACAGCAGGTGCAGGAGCAGGGTCCTGGCAGAGCCCTGGGCCTGGGAGCTCTCCTTGGCCCTGGGGCTCCCCAGGGGGCTGGTCTCAGCGGAGGATCCCACCTTGGCTGTGTCAGCTGGAGTGGGCTGTGCTGGGGGGCTGGGGTGTGCAGCCTGGGGAGAGGGTGGGGGGGTG